GTCTGGAGAAGAGAGGGAAATTCGCTCTTTGAGCCCCTTGCAGCCACTTGTATAAACTGGTGTATGTGACTGCTTACCTAAATGCTTGCTTTTTCTCTTTTTTTTTCTCTCTCTCTCCCCCCTTTCTTTCTTTCTTTTTGGTTTTGGGACTCAATAAGAAATTTTTCTGAGTTGGAGTACAGCAGAATTCTCCCTAGATGGCTGCGAGAAATTAAAACATTGTGTTTAAAGGAGCTGCCACTGGCACTGTTCATGTCTCTCCTTGTGGTGATGGCCCCCATGGACCTATATATTTGAATACTTGTTACCCGGTTGGTAGAAATGTTTGTGAAGGATTAGGGGGTACGGCCTTGTTGGAGGAGGTGTGTCTCTGGGGTGAGCTCTGGGGTACTCAGTGTGTTTATATATGTAAATATTTAGGAGACTGTATGGAAGTGGAAATGGGGCAGAGCCATGAGGTATATGAGAGTTAGTAACGAGAGCCATAAAAATAATGTTCATTACTGATGCTCTAGTCCTGTATTTGCTTCTTTAAAATGCGAAACGTATTTAAATCGTAAAAATACATCTGAACTTTTGCCAAAAAAAAACTTTATAAAGGGATTTATTATTTTAAGAGATTTTAAGACTATTCCTTTAACACACATTCAATATGAATCTGATGCACGGAAGATTATATTTCGTGGAAAATGAGATTATTGATGGATCCATTACATAATGACTTCGGCATGATCTAGCGGTTTATGTCCCCTTCGGAGAGGCAGCGCAGAGGTGCAAACCCCTGGAAGCGCAGTTCTGCATAAATAGACTTTCTGCACTCCACTGCCACTTTCCGATCTCAAAAGTGATAAAATGCAGATGCCTGCAGTTGCAATCATAAAAATGTAATTGCTGAGAAAAAAATTATTTCTGACCCATTGGAGGAATTTATTGCAAAGGGATGCACTGTGTAAGTTATCACACTGAGAAAATGAAGGCGAATGATTGAAATCTATCCCGGGCTGAGCTTCCCTGCAAAATGACCTGGTGATTTACCTGTGCTCGAGAGAAAAAAAAAAAGATGAAAGATGAATCAGATTTGGCAGGGAAGACTCTGATTACTGTAAAAGGAGCAGAATAAAGATTTATGCATAGATGAATTAAGAACTCGGAGCGACAGCATAGTTGGTATCCATGACCAATCACTCCACAATTAAAGCGTAATTTTGATTTTGAATTATGTGCCAAGATAAGTAATTCCAGCACAACTTCGCGGGTAAAAGAATTTGACATAAAGATAAACAATGAGGAAACGTGAGAATTTTTTAATGGAGCTACTAAACTGGTAACTTTAATGTAAAGGAGATGCAGTTCTATTAAAATGCATTTAGCATGATCAGTACTGTATCATCTGCTTGCACAGACCATGCAACTGTTGAAACTAGGAACTCTCTGGAAGGGGCAAGATAAGGACAGGACCTAGGAGCCCACTGATACAGAAATCAATCAAATTATATATACACATACATAATTATTATTAAGCAATTTTAGGAAAAGCAATTCTTGCCACTTGTCATTGTGAATGAACCTGGAGACTTTATCCTGAACCACATTTTCATTGTTGCAGTCAACAGTGTCCACAGGCACAAAGGAAAGCACTGCAGTCTCACACGGGAAATCACAAAATAGCACAAAATACTGATTTTCAGGATCTCAAAGAGGGGGTATGGAAAATGGGAAGTTTGGTCGAACGATACAAATTCGGGGGGGGGGGGCGTGTTGACCTAAGAGCCATGCCTCTCATTTATCACACAGTAAACTAGAACTAAAATATCAAAATATGGGAGAAAGGCAGCTATTTGAAGGGATGCTGTGATAGTCTTCCATGAAATAAATGATCATTTGATCATATGAGGAACCATTCTTAGCATGTAAGGCCTGATTTTGCGGACTGGACTTTTAAATTTCTTTTAAAAAAAATGTTTTTCTCCGCATAGCTCATGCATAAAATGGGTCTCATGCTGACATTTTCATGCAAAGATAAGATTATTTGGGTCACACTCACGCCATCATCATTTCTTACCCCATCCCACTCACACTGTTGGATTTTCCTGATGCAGAGTTGAAGGAATCTGTTCACTGATGCAGATCTAAATATTTGACCTTTAACAGCGAACCTGATAGAGCCAGACTCTCCTCTCGGCCTACCTTCCATCGTGCACCAGGTCCCTTCTTCCAAAGACAGCAAGCTCTCAAGGTTCACGTGGGTAAAACAACTACAGCGGCCTTATATCTGATTATTCAAAAGTGTTCTTGTCTTTTCTGGGGATGCACAGTGAAGCAGCTCTGAGGACAGGCACGGGACATGTTCTCACTGAACTCAAATTGAGACCCACTACTGAGAAGGCAATTTAAAACATTTTGGTGACAGCTGAGTTTTATATTAACTATTGCTGTCTAAAAGGCACTAAAACCTGAAATTAGTACTGCTTAAGCCAGTTCCTGAATGCTTTCATGTTGAGAGACAAAAAAAAAAATCTATCTATCTATCTATCTATCTATCTATCTATCTATCTATCTATCTATCATCTCTCTCTCTCCCAGGCTAAATTCAAACTCAGAGTGTTCCTATCTCTTTCTTCTGGGTGCACTCTTATGTCTGGCTTTATTTTGTTTTTCTGACAAAGTTCACTAAAAAAATTAGAATCTCCCTGGAGTAGGGCAAAGAAAATTAAAACACATTCAATTTGCTACCAAGGAACAAACATTAGTGCATTATTTCCTCCTAAGACAGTAAAATAGTGAGTGATTTTCTCAGACCTTTATAATACACAGAATGTAAACTCAGCGGATAGTGCAGGCCTGCCACGCCTCCTGTTTGGGAGGATTAGGTAGCCTTGGCAACATATGCATATGTGTATACTGAGTATGTATATATAGGAACATCTATGTATGCACATATGTGTATACAAATATTCAGACATATGATGAATTAAGGTCTGGGAATCTAATTTGTGAATAGCATAGTAACTATAGTTAACAACACATATTCTATGCTTGGATGAAACAAATCTACAGTTTAGATACACATTAAGTGTCTTTGCTACACAAATACAAAATAATAGTTATGGACAGTGATGAATATATTCATTAACTTGGCTATGGTGATTGTTAGATGAAGCATATACACACATATATATACACAATATATGAACTAAATGTTATATATATATATATGAACTAAATGTTCAGGGGGGAAATTATAGTATTTCTAGCACAATGTTTCTCAGGAAAAAACTCAACCTTATTATAATTTAAAGAAATTACTGTATGGACAAATGATATAGGACAAAATTGACAGATGAGGGGCTGGAGAGATGGCTCAAGATGCTGCAAAAGCAGCAAGTGCTTTTACAGAGGACCCAGAGTTTGGGTCCCAGCACCCATAACAGGTGACTCACAACCACTAGCAATTCCAACCCCCGGGGGTCCAACCTTTTGTAACCCTTGAAGGCATCTGCATACTCCTGACTTGCACACACACACACACACTCAGAAAAATAAGTATTTTTAAGTAATAGACTTTTAAAAGCTGAGTATACAATCCTATAAGGTCAGTTATTTTAAAATAATAAATCTTAGACTTTAAGTCTACTGGGGTTTTACAAGGAGAACCCTATGATGATGAAGGCCAAGTGTGCATCCACATAATTCTGTTATGCTAGAATCTGCTTTATGAGAAAGTTCTTATACACAGCAACCAGTCCATAAATTATTAATATTTGTAGTTTCATATGATTTGAATATTGCTAAGACCTATAAGAAAATTTCAGCTGGGGCATTGGCAGAGTGATATGCTGAGCCTCTTGTAAGAACTCAATAAACATTTAAGAACCATCAAGGACAAGAAGGAAGATAAAGTCAGCAGTGCATTAGTGACTGAGAACTCCCTCACAGACAGGAAAAGTAGGCACCCAGGTGCCACATCCACTGCGTCTCACATGAACACGATCGCACAGTTAGGAGAGTTTTGTCTTTTCCAATTAAATAAAATTCTTTCAGAACATTTGCATCCTCTTAACTATCTAGGTGGAACCAATATCATTTAGAGAGATGGTTATGATAGCTTTAGAACATACTAGGACACACACAGTTGTGCCCACTGTATCTTTGCCTGCGAATTCCTACTGACTGATACAGCAAGGTACTTGACCAAAGCTTCTGTTCGTATGTAAAAGGTGGTATCCGATAGGCTGTGACAATGCCTTCTGCTGATGCCAGCACTGGAAGGAACCCCAACTGAGGCAAGGGGGTTGAGGTGAGCCTGGGCTACACAGGGCAACCCTGTCTCAAAAACTAAATAAAATGTAGTTTCTTTACAACCCTTTCTCTGCCCATAACAATATAGCAGCATCCTTCATGACTATCAAGTTCTAAGGGACCTCGAACTCACAGAGATCTTTCTGCCTCTGCCTCCCAAGTGCTGGGATTAAAGGGGTGTGTCACCTCTGCCTGGCTTATATACAGCTCTTAACATTGTGATACACACATACAATCCCAGAACTAAGGAGGATGAAGCGGGGGGCGGGGGGGGGCATATGTTAGAGATCACTCTGATCCACATAGACCCTATTTTGTGTGTGTGTGTATTAATATTGCAAATAATGCCAAAAAAAGAATCTGAGGGAAAACTTTCAGAATTATATTAGTAAAATCAAATACATACTCTTATATTTTAATACCAGTTTATTGGGAGAAATTAAGACAAGGTCTCCATGTGTAGACCTGACTGTCATTGAACTCACAGAGATCTATTTGTCTGCCTCTGCCTCTGGACTGCTAGGATTAGAGATGTGCTCCACCACACCCAGAAGATACCAGTTTAAACAAAGGATGCTGTTAGGTGCTGTAGTCATTCATACCTAGAGCCAAAGCCACCCTTGACTCAGTGCTATTCCCACCATCTTGAATTCTGCTAACACACAAGCTGTAGCACATTGCAGCACCCGAAGTGCTCCTACCTGGATTATCAGCGGCTCCAGCAGCTTCTCCACAGTGACTGTCTGGATCTGCAGGTCGTGAATGTCCAAATTCAGGGGGATTGGTGCTTCTGCCGACATGGTGCCTGTACACGGACACACACAGAATAAAACAAGGCTTATCAATGAGGAGGAATTCTTTCCAACGCAGAGGGTTCCTGACAATCATGGAATAAGTGAGTCTTCCGTTTGGCAGGTCTTTTCAGTCCTCTGAGGTTCAGGGTGCCAAATCCACCATAGGAGAAGCAAGAGGCTCCCAAGATGTTGTCTGCTCGCATGCTGCCTGGGCTTAGCTCTAATGTATGCTAGTAAATTCATAACTGGCTTTCAAACTTATCGAACAGGCTCCCATTTAATCAGTAGTCTTAATTGAAAGCTATTGCTGATCTGTTGATACATATCTGACAGTAGGCAGGTCATCTGACTTCCATGAATCGGTGATGCTCAGGGACTTTGTATGTTTGCTGTTTGCCCATTCTTGTCAAGACTTAGATTAGAAGCCCAAAGACACATGGTGTGTGTCTAGGTGTTTTCAAGGTTGCTTATATGAGAGTTTTGATTGTGAAAGAGATTGGGCAATTTTCTTTCTTGTACAGAGAAGAAACCAATAAGAATTTGAATAGCTATTAGAGAAAAATAAGAAGCCCATTGGAAAGCCCTGATATTTGGGCAAGATGCAGTGGTTTGAATGAGAAATGTTCCCCATAGTCTCCAGCATTTGAAGACTTCCCCCTCCCTCGGCTCCCCTGCTACTTGTTGACATTGTTTGGGAAGGTTTAGGAAGTATGTCACCAGGGGCTGGCTTTGACAGCCTAAGGCTTGCTCATTCTGCTTTGTGATGGTGGTCAAAGAAAGGAGCTCTCAACTTTCTGTTCCTAGCCCCATGCTATAGCTGCTGACGTGTTCCCTACCGTGATGGACTCTTAAAGCTCCAGAACCATAAGCAAGCCCAAATAAACTCTTCCTTCTGTGAACTACCATAGCCGTAATGTCTCATCACAGCAACAGAGAAGTGACCAAGTCACCAGACAACGTAAGAAGAATAATTGTTAAGCCGGGCATGGTACTTTAATCCCAGCACTCGGGAGGCAGAGGCAGGTGGATCTCTGTTTGAGGCCAACCTGGTCTACGGAGTGAGTTCCAGGACAGCGAGGGCTGTTACACAGAGAAACCCTGTCTCAAAAAAAAAAAAAAAAAGAATTTTCATAAATGATTCTTTAAGATATTAACCTCCTCATCCAGTTGTGTTAGTCTACACTATTAACCCCAGCACCAAGAAAAGCAAAGAAAGCTGATTCCTGTGAATTTAAGACCATCCTAAATTCCAGGACAGTCAGGACTACATAATAAGACCCTGTCCAAAAATTAATAATAATAATTTGAGAGGCTGTGGAGATGGCTGAGCCAACAAAGTGCCCTTCTTGTAAGCATAAGTCCTGAGTTGGGATCCCCATCATGCCTGTAAAAGGGAGGCAAAAAGAACCAACAATGATTCAATCAACAGTGAGGAACAGGAAGACAGAAGCACCCCAGAGGTTTGCTGGCAAGCCGGGCTAGCTGAACTGCTAAGCTCCAGGTTCAATGAGACACCTTTTCTCCTGCCTAAGACTGAGGACTGGCATGATGGCTCCGCAAGGACAAATGCTAGACCTGACGGGCCTGCGTTCAACCCTCAGAACCACGCAAAGGTAGAAAAGGAAAACTAACTCTGCAAAGTTTTTCTCTGCTCTCCACACTCACCAGATGCACACACACTGCTCACAATTAATACAGTAAATAATCCAAAATAAGGTGAAGGGTGCAAGTGAAAAACACAGACGCTGACCTCTGACCACCAAACACAGCTGTACCTGCACATACACATGCACATGAGCATGTACACACACACACACACACACACACACACACACACGAACCAATTGCTGAGATTTTCAATTCTTAATCACATAATCATGATTGGCATTTCATAACATATTGAAACTGACACCAACACTAATCTATCAGCCATGGACACTATTAACTAAATTACTAAATCCACAAATCTGTATTAACCCTTGTCTGTCAATCATCACTCAGGAAGTGTTTACTCGGTGTCCACAGAGATAACCAAAATAAATCATAGATAGATGATAGATAGATAGATAGATAGATAGATAGATAGATAGATAGATAGAGGAAAGTCATAGATAGAGGAAAGTCATAGATAGATAGATAGATAGATAGATAGATAGATAGATAGATGATAGATAGACAGACAGATAGATCAACTTAACCTACTTTAAAAAATAAAGGAAAAAAGGCTCAGCAGTTAAGAGCACTTACTGTTCTTTCAGAGGACCCACGTTCAGTTCCCAGCACTCACATGGCAGCTCACAACCATCTCCATACCCAGGGGATCTGACCTCTCTTCTGCCCTCTCTGGGCACCCCAACACACATGGTGCACAGACACATACACTCAGGCATGCATACACACACGTAAAATTAAAATAGATATTTTAAAAAGAAAAGAAAAACTTATAATGAACAGAAATATGCACCTATCAATAGAAAACCTTCTGACTTAGCGTGTACCTACTCTCCCACACAGTTTCCCACAGCTTTGGGCTTAGTAAATTGACCCCCACCAAATAAAAACACCCTAACAATCTCCCTGGAACCATGAAGGAAATAAAAGAAATAGAAAGTATGAAGATTGCTCTAGTTTCTCTGGTCAGGAGTTTTAACTAGAAGGGCAAGTAATGGTTCTCTTTTTAATTCACTAATTGGCAATAATCAGACAGCTGGTGGACGGGTACAGAGTTACATAATATCAATCTTTTCAAGGCTCTCCCTAATCTCAATAATCCTAGAAGACCGAGTTATTCTCTTTTCTATATGTGTTTCCACCTCAGAATTGTAGGGTAGAGTCCATGTGCCTGCCCATCCCACCGGTGAGAGTCTCCTCCGACTTTCCCGCAGACGCTTCCCTTACCCCATCCTTGGTCCATAAAACCAGCACCGGTTTGCTTGCCAATCTCCCCACTCTCCTGGGTCCATCCCACAGATCCATACATTGCTATTGTGTGTATTCAAATATATCCATGACCCCTATGTCTATGGATAAGTGGAAAGACCAACACTTCACCAAGAGTGCCATCTAAGGTGTGAACTGGATGCAGAGAGAGATGAGACACAGAAACATCCCATAAGTAGTCATATATATTGGTTCTTACCTTTGTGTTGTATAATTTTGACATGGATAACAAAATTTGTTTAAACAAAAATAGAAGTAAATGCTGGAGAGTCCAGGAGTCATGAGCCTACTGCTCTTCAGATGTCATCCCACATGGCCACTCTCTATAATTTCCTTTTTTATTAGTGCTTTTTGAGGGAGGGTCTCGATATGTGGCCCTGGCTTTCTTGGAACTCTCTACGTAAATCAGGCTGGCCTTGGACTCACAGAGATCTGCCTACATGCCTATCAAGTGCTGGGATTAAAGGTGTGTGCCACCACACACACAACTCAACGAATACATATCGACACAGATACATAAATTAATGGTAATAAAACTGCAATGGCTATAATGATACAGCTGTGGTTACTTGAACGAGAGTGTGCCTCCACATCATGGATGTGGGAGGGGCTCCCACCACCCCTCCCCCTCCCTGTCGGCGGTTCATGGTTGCTGAGGACGGGGCATCATTTTCTTCAGTGGTGTAGCCACTCATATGTTGCCCATGCTCCAGGAAATAACCTCCTGCTGATGCTCATGCAAGCAACCCCAGTTAAACTCAATGGGCCACACACAAAGACATGAAAGTGGGCGGGCAAAGAAGGGTTTCCGTGGTAGAGGGAGGAAGGGGCGTGAGAGGTGGTAATGTAATTTGAAGAGTGAAAAATCACTGAATTTTTTATAGACATGTGTGAAACTGCCAAAGAATTTTTAACTGTGTATCTGAAATATTCTTGAGAAATTTTCTCCCCAGTGACTTAGCATCATATTTGTACATAATCTAAACACTGCAGTTCAAATGTGCTTATAATCAAATATTGTTATAATACTTTTATTCTTTCATGTGTCTTCAGTGAAGTTTAATATTAAAAACAGGGATAATTATACTGAAATTCTCAAAGGAACCAATTATGACGAACTTAATAATTGATAAAGGCACTTAAGTACAGTCATATGCTCCGAGGTTTTCTATACTATTCAAGGCAACAGTGCATGCTCTCTACTTCACAGACACTATCAAGACGTTGTACAGTTGACACGAGAAAGTAAATACACAGACTGAAGTGGGAGGAGAAGGACACTTTATTAATCGAGTGGGATGTCCCAGCATCCCCCTTGCTGTTTTTAAAATAACTACAATATACTATATACATTATATACTATATATATTCATTTGCACTAAATGTTGACAGTTTTATATAAATACCACCAGAATAGCTGATTGCAGAGATAGAGCAAGTTTTCTGAAACACGGCACTTTTCTAGATAGTTCTCTTAGTGAACATAATCCAAACAGCCCACGTGGGGCTCCCTCCCCACCTCAAGGCAATCAAGCGTGTCCTTGTTCTCAGTCCGTGCTGAACTCCATCGCAAGTCACTTACAAGGACTGCTATCCCTTTACTTTTTGTTTATCCGTTCTTGGTTCTGAGACAGGGTTTCACCCAGCTGATACCTCAGACTGGCCTAGAACTCACTATATAACGTAGACTGGCTTCAACACTCCTCCCTCAGACTCCCAAGTTCTAGGACTACAATCATGAGACACCCACCATGCCTGGCTCTCCTTTACTTTTTTTTTCTTTTTTCCTTCTTCTTTGTTTTGTTTGTCTGCTTGTTTGTTTTTGGTTTTGTTTGTTTGTTTGTTTTTTTGAGAAAAGGATTCCTCTGTGTAGCCTTGGCTATCCTGGAACTTGCTCTGTAGACCAGAATGATCTTGAACTCATAGAGATCTGCTTGCCTCTGCTTCATGAGTACTGGGATTAAAGGTGTGTGCCAACACCACCTAGCCTTCCTTTATATTTTAAAAGCCAGTTTGGTTTAAAAATAATTATTCAGGTTGTATTAGGATGGATGAATAGATAGATAGATAG